TGGAGATCTTGGGCGCAAAGGTTAGTATTACTATTTAACAATTTAGTTAGCTTACTTCTTTGATCTTTTTCTAATTCTCTGATATTGTATTTAATTCTGATTTGAACCTCCTTTTCATAATAATAATCGAAAAGGTCTAAAATCAATTTATCTCTTTCTTGTAGAGGAGTGACCTTCTTTCGGTCATTATGTTCATTTTTACTTTCGGTTTCCAATCAGTTGTCATTGTCTTCGCCTTCTTCCTTCTTGGTATGTTCTTCTTTCTTTATTTCTTTGTTATTCTTTTTCTTTTTCTCCTCATCTTTTAACCAATCGTTTCTTTCGGGATTTTCTTCCTCAATCCCGGAATACGCGTATATTTGCTCTTCTAATTCTTCCTCTTCGAACTCGTCATCTGTTTCCTCACCTTCGCTCTCTTGCTCCTCTAGATTTTTAACCACAACAACACACTCTTTCCCCAGTGGGTCCTTACTCATCTTCCTAAATTCTACTAGGACGATAATTTCCTTTTCATCCCAAACCAAAGTCATCTCCGAGATATTCCAATCGATAGTGGCATTTACTTTAGCTAACCAGTCATTTCTAACAATTGCACAGTAAGAACTGGCATCCGTAACTATAACATCAATGGGGATCTCTATACTTCTATACAGAAAGGGAAATCGGAGATTTCCCCAATGGCGCGTTTACTTTCTCCATGAATATTTATCATATTCACTACAGACGGTCTCTTGATCCTTATACTCAGATCGTTAAGCAGGTGAGAAGAAACGACACTCCCAGAGGACCCGCTATCAACTATTAAAGAAATCGTCCTATCTTGAATCTTGGCGTCACAATATAAGGCTGTGGACTTTAAAGAAGGTTGGGTGTTTGCATTTCCTTGGGCTTTCCTTCTTGTAATAATTTTTTTCTTTTGTAGCGACCGAGTCAATTCTTGGCGCATAGTTGGTACAACTCTTAAGAGTTGTCCAAATATAATGTTGGCCGTCTTGTCCCTCATATCTGCGACAATGGAGTACGGAGTCACTAAAGAAGAAATCTGAGACATTTTTTTTTCGATATTTTTGCGTCGAGGTATAGTAGGCTTTTTACTTTTTTCATTATTCTTTCTAACATTTTCTTTAGACTAGTCCTTTTTGATAATTTCTATTTGAATATCTTGGTCTTAATTATCGTTTCCACCTTTATTGTCTCCCATCTCGACATCAATATCTGGTATCAACACTGCTTCGGTTTCTATTAGGCTTGTCGAATTATCCTGATTCGTTACACTATTATTTTTCCGAAGTATCCCAGTTTCGGTAATAGGCTTTTGTCGTCTATTTCTTTCAGCTAAGAGAAACAAAGCTTCATCTCCTTCGTTAAAACCAAGATATGACGATTGGTTATTTTGGTTATTTACTGGTGTACTATTATTAATTAGGGCCAATAAAGCTTGGAGGGTTTCTTGTGAGACGG